ATTACGCATGTCTGCGTGATCCCTGGCGGCTTACCAGGTTCAATCCATTCTTGTCGGTCTCCTTCTCGCCGTTGCCCACTGCAGAGGCGTAGGATCAACGAGTCGGCCCTCCGCGCGGTCGTGGGATGGTAGGGTTCTTTGCAGAGGGGTCGATCTCCGGTAGTTCGACGGGCGGTATCCTGTCGTGATTGGCTTCCCTGTCCCTGTCCTTGGCAAACTTGGGGGCGATGTCAGTCTTGTAGCTCGGTAAGAGGGCGTAGTCGGGTGGCCGTCCCGCTCTGATGTTCGCACGCTTCGTTTGCATGGTGTCATGCCTGTTCTTCTCCAAGAGGTCGTCGCCAAACTGAGGGGCAGCCACCGCCCATGGTATCGCGCTTGACAGGTTTGCCTGCAGGTGTTGTACAAGTCGCGCGTAGGTATGGTTTTTGCCCACTGCATGTCAAGCACACCGTGCGGCATGCCCACTTGGCTGCGTGAGTCCCGCTTTCGTGGCGCTTGCCATGTTGCGCGTAGTCTGCGTTCTTATGTAGCAAGGTGGCTCCGCACTGGTAACCCATCAAGTTGGGCTTAGGTGGTGGTAGTGGCTTTGTCGGTATCGGCGGCATGCTGTCAGCGATTTGGCACGGCTCGAGATCGTTGTACCACTGCTCCTGGTGCGCGCGGTCTCGTTGTCGTCGGTAGTACAGGCGCGCGGCCTTCTTAACCGTAGCCCGAAATCGTACTGGTTCGTCGCGGGCAGCGCGTACGACTTCAGGCAAGTCCAGCGCCGCTGCAAGTTGCTCCTCTCAGCTGAGGTGCTTGTAGAGCCGCTCGACGTCCTGTCTGATCCTCGCTGTCCAGGTCGCAGTGCGCCTTGCATCTTCATCCAGTAGCCGTAAGAGGACGGTAGGACCATGAAGTAGCAGACCTGGCGAGTGCAGCAATCTCTTTGTTCACCCGGCGATGTCTGAAGGTAGGCGGTCGGCCTCGCTGAGGACTTGGAGGTTGGTGACAGGCTCCATCTTGTCGTAGCTGGCGTGGTACCTGGCGGCTTGACTGCAGCGTTTCATAGATTCCATCGCAAAGTTGTCGGCGTCACCCTCTGCCAGGTGGTTCTATGCGTGGCCGTTGCACGATAGCGTGGAGCGAACGAGTGAGCCGTTGTACAGTACTCCCTTGGGTGTTGGTAGGTTTTCCTCTTGAAGGTCTGCTTTCGTAGTGGCCCTCGGCTGGTTATGGCCTTTTTGGTCCTTTTCTTGGTTTCGAGACCAGTCGCGCCAGTGGATGTGTTGACTCTTCCTAATGCCGTCTTTGCGTTGATACTCTCAACAGCAATATGGTTGCTGGAGGCGCTCTTGATTTCTGCAATGCCTCCTTCACGAATTGCTCGTTGGTTGTGCGCGACCCAGGGCCGAATGGTAGGGGCATGAGTTTGGTCTGGCGTTGAGTCGCATGCCGTGGGCGCGGACCCTTGACTCGACGATCTTGAGCTAGGTTGTTGCTGTCGCGGTTGCCTCGTTAGGTGCTGTAGCGGCGCATGCGGTGAGGTCATCTACACATGCTGCGTCGGCGAGGGTGGCGCCTACGTCTTGTCCAGGTTGGTGTTGTCGTCCTTGTGCAAAACTGGGGGGTGTTTTGCGTGAATCGCCTTGGCGATTCTCGCGAAGGCTGCGTTGAAGGAAGAGGCGGCCAGAGGCACTCCAGGTTTCGTTCCCGTTCTGGGTTGCTTCATTATTCTGCGCCCTCCTTGTCGTGGCTCAGGAATCGGTGATCGGTGCGGGCGTCGCGCACGAGGTCTCATAAGTGTTTGTCGTAGCTGTTTATGCCTATGTGTGATGCTCCCTGCAATGCGTCCTCGAGCATTGGCGGCATGGCTTCTGGTGTGTCCATTGTGCCGAAGAGGTCTTTCAGCTCGCGCTCGTATGCGGGTAGCCTGTAGATACCCAGGCAGAAAAACCGACCACTGTTGCCTCGGTCCTTCATGATGCTGACGCATGTCAGGGTGGCATGGGTGGCGAAGTCGGTACTCCGATGAGGTTGCGCTCCACACTGTGCATCTCAAAGTAGTACTGCTGTGACCTCAATGTTTCGTCCGTAGGAACCTGTTATGGTGCTTACCCACGACAATGTTTCGTAGTATCTGTCGCCTGTTCGCAAGGTGTTTACTGCTGGTAGCGTTCTTGACGAATGAGGCTCGCCATCCTCCTTTGTGAGAGAGTGGCTCCACTGTGGCCAACCACTTCTTGACAAAACGCGCGGGGTAAAGTGTCGCCATCTCTTTACTGGCCGTGCGGCACATGTCGCCTGTGATGTCGTCGGGGCCGCCTTGTCTGTTCTTGCTGGTGTCCTGGAAGCCCGTCTCTAGGCCAGTCTTGGTGGTAATGTTGGCGATAGGTGTATCAGCCTGAGTTCGATTGAATATCGCTCTCTTGGTGTTCTTGTTGTAGAGGTTGGCGAGTTCGTGCAGCGTGCGCATGGCAGCGTGGTCGACGATGGCGAAGTGGTCCAGCTCAGCTTTCTGCTTGTGCCTCTTCGCTTGCGATTGGTTCTCCGTTGGCGTCGGTGGTGTACGGGTGCTCTGTGACCGTCCGTGGTGGCCGTCCCCCGAATCATAGTAGTTGTTTAGGTTCTCGATCGCGTCATTGATGCTGTCGGCGCAGGTAGTCAGGTTCTGGTCTTTGTCCTTGCGGATTCGTGAGACGAGTTGTCGTTTGGACTGGTGTAGGACAGCCGTGATGGCCAAGTTCAGCTCGTCGTGCTCGGCCTGGTGATGCACTACTCTTAGTCTAATGTTGACCTGGTTGAACAAGGTAGTCCGGTCGTCCATCGACTGGGCGGCTTGGATTATTGGTATAGTTGATTCTGCGAGGTGGTAGGCCAGATTTGTTGTCGTTATCCTTGTCTTTGTGGCGTCTGGTTTGTCTCGATTGGCGCGATAGGGTCGCTGGCAGGCTCTGCGTACTCCCAGCTGTTCGATTGTCTTCTCGTTTATGTAGGGCTTGCCTGTCCGTGATGCTTTTTGATGTTATGTGTTCTCCGGCCACCTCTGTGACCCTTAATTGAGCTGGTGGGCGGGGTCGTTGATGTTGTGGTCCCACTCGTACTGCCCAATATTGTCGAGTTCTTGCTGCAACGCTCTGCTGGTGATCCTGGTTCGCGATCCGTGAAGGGTCAAGCCCCGGGTGCGGACCGCTCTGCATGCGATAGCGCGACGTATGTCTGGCAGATCACGGCTGGCGGGGTGCCTTCGTCCTCCTGGACCATACCATTGGGTGTCGAGGGTCTCCGCGTCTTTCACTGTGTCCCTTTGCTGGGCGGGAACGACGACGTGGTCTATGCGTTCTTTCTTGTGTCCGTTCTTGTGTGTGTATTTGGGCCCCCTGTCACCCATCGCCGTACTGACAGCCGTTCGCTTGTATGTGGTGCGGTACTCGCGGAATGTGAACGTCATGTTGCTGAGTTCCGTCCAAAGGGCATCGACCTTGCCGTCTCCTGAGTGGGCGTGGGTGGCGCGTGCAACCGCCACCGTGTGCCGTAGGCCAAGTGCCGTGATGTGGACGACCAGCAGCCTGGAGGTTTGGTGCAGGACCTTGGTGCGATTTGGTTGTATCCGTTGTTCCACCCCACTATCCTCCGAGTGCGACAGGACAATGCTGATGAGAAGCGGGAGCCCCAGGCTGTGGTTGTCGAGGCCGTTCGATATGATGTCAGAGCCGTGCATGGGTGGTGTCCCTCTGGGTAATCTCGTCTCCTGCGTCCCGATTAGGTGGGTCTTCGTATCTTTGACCTGGTGGTTGATCGCCTCGATCCTCGTGATCTTGCTTTGCTGCTCTCTGCCAGTATGAGTGAGCTCCTTGAAGGTTGCCAGGTTGAGAGTGGCCGCCTTGATATCGATGTTGGTTTTTGTGCTAGTCTGGTCGTTGGGTGGTTGGGAGTGCTCTGGTGATGCTACCGCTGTAGACGCTGCTGCGTACAGACCGTTCTCAGCTCGGGATACGCCTTCTTGGTCGCCTCGTCGGACAAGCGGGGCCACTCTCATTGTCGTTGGTGCTGTGCATCAAAGGCAACAGCCCATTCCGATTGTGGGTTGGTGTCGTCTCGCCGTCCCTGTTGCTGGCCACCGAGTCGGCCAGCACATCCGTGGACGTAAACATGGTTGGTATGCATGTTGGCTGCCGTTGCTGCAAGGTCGTCCAGGTGAGTGTTGCCAGCTCTAATGTGGTAGATGTGGCTTTGCCGTAGTCCTCGATTGTCGTTGCACTTGACGTTCGTGTTGCCATCGTGCCTAGGTGGATGGAGCCGTCCTCGTCTTCGATGGTGATGGCAACAACCCAAGCGTCCTTGATTGAGTCGGCTTGGTGCGTGCCGTCTTTGTGCAAGCGGAGCCGCTTGGCCGTCCCAGAAGGTCGTAGTGGGATTAGCTCCATGGCCATGGTGACACTACTATAGGGTGGAATCTCTCAGGCGCGTGTAGGTCTGGTAAGTGGGTGGCGAGTCGCGGCAGGGATGTGCGTCGGTGTTGTCAGCGTGAAGTTGGATCGAACCGCTTCTGTCGCTTGTTGTCCCTAAGGTCGGCTTGCCTGCGGCGGTTCCTCTCGCACGAAGCAGGTTTCATCCTCAGGTTGGCATGTGCAAGCTGGGCCTGAAGAAGGGGCGCCAGTGCTGGTTCGGCTCCTCCTCCTCCTCCTCCTCCTCCTCCTCCTCCTCCTCCTCCTCCTCCTCCTCCTCCTCCTCCTCCTCCTGTTCCTCCTCCTCCTCCTCTTCCGTAGGCTACTTTAACTCCTCTTCCTCCTCCTCCTCCTCCTCCTCCTCCTCCTCCTCCTCCGCCTCTTCGGCGGCTCCAGCGGCGAGCGGCGCCGTCGGCGGCGCCGTCGGCGGCGCTGGCGACTCCGACGACGGCAGCGGCGGCGGCGACGCCGCCAGCGGCCGCGGCGGCGAGCGGCGGCGGCGGCCGCGCGCCGAAGGAGCGCCCGCAGCCGCCGAGCCGCCGCCGCCGCTCGCCGCGCTGGCGGAGCCCGCCCCGCCGGAGGGCGCGGCGGCGCCCGCGGAGCCCGCGGAGCCCGCGGGGGCCTCGGCGGCGCCCTCGGCGCGCCGAGGATTGGCGTGCGAGGGGGGGGAGGCAAGTTTCGAGTCGATCCTCTGCTCCGTCCTTCCCCGCCCCGAGCTGCAGCCTTCTCCCCCGCCTCCTCCTCCTCCTCCCCCCCCTCCTCCTCCTCCTCCTCCTCCTCCTCCTCCTCCTCCTCCTCCTCCTCCTCCTCCTCCTCCTCCTCCTCCTCCTCCTTCCCCTCATGCACCTCGACCTCCACCTCCTCCTCCACCTCCTTCTCGGGGTGGTACTGGGGCTTAGGGCTGCAGAGAGGGGGCGGGTGGACCCTGCACACGCGCGTGGCCTGAGCAGCGAGCATGTGGCTGAAGCTGCATCCGTCGGACAGCTTGCACTGCACTGCAGTGGGGGAGCGAACGCACCGATGATTGGGAAGGCCTTACGGGGTGCCGCCGAACCTGGAGGGGGCAGACGACGACGACGACGACGACTACGACGACGACGATGAGGGTAAACAAAATCGACCCCCCTGGAGTTGCTCCCTGGCGCCGAGGGGGCCCTCCTCGGAGCACGCGGCGCGCTGGCCGCAGTGCTCATGTCCTGGTTTCTCGCTGGAGTCGGAGCACTGGTGCCCGCCAGCAGGAAGGGTGGGCAGGTTCGAGGTTCTGGGTTCGGGAAGGTGTTTTGCCGTTTTCGACCTCTGGGAGCTGTTTTCGGTCCCCGGGACCGTCAGACACGGATCTGGGGCGAAAAATTGCACCAGAGGGACCCCAGGAGGGGTCGGGGGGCCGATTTTACCACGCATAGGCTCGAGGACTCTGCCATCCTCCGTCTCGCGCTGTGGCGTACAGTCGGGGCCCTGAAGAAGGAACCCTTTTGGTTGGGGAGGGGCTCCGCGTTCCTTAAGTGTTTCACAGCTTGCCCCAGGCTTTCCTTATGCTGTCGACAGGAAATCGAAGGTTAACTGATGGAAAAAAGGGGCCTCGTTCCTTATTTAGGGTTCCTTAGGTCAACGCCCCGACTGTATCCTCCGTCTCGCGCTGTGGCGTACCTCTGCTATGGTGCTTGACAGCGCCTGACGACGATGCGGGCAGACGCTTCGCGTGGAAGAATCTTTCTACCCGGACCTCGCGCCCCCACGCGGGCGCGCGCGAGGTCGCCCCAGAGTCGTATAGAGTCTTGTAATCCTCGAGAGGCGACCCTCCTGAGGAGGAGGAGGAGGAGGAGGCTCGCGCTCTCTTGACTTGCCCCTCCAGCAGCTCCGCGGCTCCAGCTCTTTCGGGCGATTCTGAATGAGGGGGCGATTGGAGGTAACAAAAACAGAGGAGGGCGAGTTGAAAAACGGTTGTTCGCCTTCGGGGGGCGCTCGCCGCCACGGTTGGGCGCAGCTCGGGAAATGGGTGCGGTTGGGCCCCGGGAGGGGTCCAGGGGTCGATATTGAGCTGCCAGTATCTCAACCTGCCCTGGTCCTTCCCCTCCCTCTTCCGCGCTCCCGCTCGCGCCCTCCTCCTCCTCGTCCTCCCGCGCCCGCCTTCCTCATCCTGTGCGTCTGCGTCGCGGAGGTTATCTCATGCAAGGGGGCTTCCCGCCCCCTCTCGTTCCCCATTGTGCTGTGTGCAGAGTCTCCGGAGGCAACACAAGGAGGAGTAGGAGGAGGAGGACGATCAGGAGGAGGAGGAGGAGCAGGAGGAGGAGGAGCCACGCACCAAACATGATCCTCGAAACGCAGGCCCCGAGCCTCGGCCCTCGAGCCGCGGCGGCGACGGCGGCGTTAGCGCGCGTGCCGAGGCGGAGCCACCAGCTGAGCAGCCGGCCGCGGCGGCCGAGGGCGCGGCGGCTGAGCCGTCCTGACCTCCACTTCGGCGACACCAAAGGGTGTGGTTACGCCCCGGTGTGGTCTGCGTGCGACTGGCGCCATTGGTTGATGAGACCCCCTGCGGGCCGGGGGGAGGAGGCGGTTGAGGGTGAGCAGGGAGGGCGTATGAGACAAAGAGAGAGAGAGAGGTGAAAGAGGTGGTGGAGGAGGTGCAAGGGGGAGAGGTAGAGGAGGGTGGTGGAGGACGAGCGCGGAGGAGGGATGAGGAGGAGGAGGAGGAGGAAGAGGAGGAGGAGGAGGGAGCAGGAGGAGGAGGAGGAGGAGAAGGAGGAGGAGGAGGATGAGGAGGAGGAGGAGGAGGAGGAGAAGGAGGAGGAGGAGGAGGAAGAAGAGGAGGAGGAGGAGGAGGAGCAGGAGGAGAAGGAGGAGGAGGAGGAGGAGGATTTTCGACATCACGCCCATGGACCCCACTAAATTGGGCAGACTGAGTCGAGGTCGAGGTCGGCTTTGACACCCTTCCTCTTGTGGGCAGGATGGACTCCCTTGCCCAACCTAGTCCACACTTCGCTGCGCATGGGCGGTCGATCTAAGCACTTTGAGAGCCTACGCATCTGACCGCCCTTGGAAAACGCATGGCAATTCTGACAAATTCAGGCGAAGCTCTGATCGTCGAATTCCACGACCTAGGCGGTGACCAAGCGCTCGAAACTCTGCGGGATCGATCCTGAGCTGGCGCGTGCACACTGCGGGCTTCTGCTTGCTCCTCGAACCACGCAAGCGGATGGGGCATTGCCAGAAGCGCCCGACCCAGTTCCACTCGTAGGAAGGAGAAGCAGGCTTGGGGTGGGACGGGTGGCGTCAGCAAGCCGCTCGACACCCTCGAGGCTGGTCATCGGCCAGCAGTCCAAAATCTGTGCAGCTAATTTGCAGACAGCCTTTGCCGTCCTGGTCGAGGATTCAAATTAGCATGGTCTTCCTGTTCCATATCAGCGTGCAACCTCGCTCCAGCTTTAGCCGCCTCGTCGGCAGCATTACTGATGATATTTCTGCGCTCGACGTCAGGCATTTCTGGGTCTTCGGCCCTGTGAGCCTTGACTCAACCAGCTAATGAACTTACTGGCCAGCGCGTGGCTCTGCATGACTAGCCTGTTGTGGGGCCTGGCAGAGGACAGCTCGTCCGCCAGGCTCTTGCTAAACTCTTGCGCAACCACCGTGCAGTCGCTGAAGAGCACAGACGGGCCAGACAGCAGGCTGGCCGCGCTCGCGGGCGCGGCGAACTCCGCAGCGACGCTCGTCTGCGGATAGAAACTGCCCAGGGCACCATACATCCGAGCAAGGATCTGACCCGAAGGACCGAGACTCAACACTCCCCAACCAGAGCAGCAAAGATCGGTGATCGAAGAACGCATGCACGAGCCGTCCAGGTAAATGTCCCCTTGAAACTCTCGAACCCCCTTGGAAGGAACTGCAAGACCCTCGGCCAGGAAAGCCTCAGGAAAAGCCTGGAAACGAACACCGTCCATAGCCTCGGCCCGGCTCAACGGCCTAAGGGCCCAAACAGACGGGTTCTGAAAGAGCCCCGACTCACAGACGAGTTTGAACCCAGGGCTGGGGTCGGCGAAGAGCTCATGGCGGATCCTAGACAGAAGCCTCTCTCCAACGATGTCGAGACTCTCTGTTCCTCGCACTCAGGGCAGAACCAAAGCCTATGCAAAATCGTGTCTCCGATCCGTCCGCTAAAAAAGCACACATCCTCCACCTGATAGCCTAGGGCGGCAGCTCTGCTCAGAGGCCACCTCACCAGGCACGTCAGTTCTCGGATAGCGCCTTTTCCTTGTCGGGAAAATTTGGAGGACGGCAGGGCCGAGTCGACCAGGTCAAAACAGAGGCGGGTCCCGTCGAAATACTTGCTACCAGCCTCGGTCTGCAGGTCCCGAAAACAAAAACAGCACTCCTTCAAAACCTGTTCAAGAGGGCAGGGGAGGTGAGGAGGAAGGGAATCTCCACATCTCTGTCATCCGTCATCGTGAATGGGTCTCTCATACTCCAACCCAGCCTGCGAAGTGAGAGGAACAGCGCCGATGTGTCCCCTGCTCGATCTCCACGTCTTGAGAGGGTGTGTCCACACCGCATCCCAGGCGTCTCGAATCTCTTGCCAGCTGAGTGTCCACGAGGATCTAGTCTGCAACAGCCACAGCTCCTTGCAATACCTGATGGTCGGTGCAATAGATCCGTACCACGCTGGGAGGAGGAGGAGGAGGAGGAGGAGGAGGAGGAGGAGGAGGAGGAGGAGCAGCATCAGCGGACTGCGCCAGCCTCAAAGGTTGGAGTCACCGCGTTGCGCCGAAGGTTTGATGAGGCCTCGCGGGGACGCGGCAGAGATCTCTGCCGAGGTCCGTGCCCGCCCCTCCAGGCGCGGGTGGCAAGCCACACCCTTGTTAAGCCACACCTTTTGGAGTCGCCGACCCTCTCACGCCTCGCGGCTCTGCCTCCTCGTGCTCCTCGTGCCCCTCGTGCTCGTGCTTTTCCTCTCGGCGGCGCTCCCAGGGGGGGGACCGCCTGCAAGCCCAAAGGGGTCTCGGGTTCGAGGTGCGAGGTTCTCTGCTCCGTTGGTTCGTAGGGGTTTTCCAGCTTCGGGGTGCGTTCAAGCGGCTGCGCTTCGCCGAGAGCGTTCTGAGGGTGCCCGGATCGTTCCGTAGGGCTGCCTGGGACCCGAGGTATTACCCCTGGCATCGCTCGGACGTGTGCATTTTTTCTCGGCGAGGACCTCCGAGGAGCATCCTTGATCATTTGGCGAAGAAACCACGCACGAAACCGAAAAAAGCACAGGGAATGGACGTCCGAGCGATGGCGAGTGCCAGACAGGCAAACATTCTTCGCTCGGCGGCGCACCGACGAGGGAGGTGAGAGAGGCAGACCTTCTCAGAAGGGTTGTTCCTCGATTGCGTTTGCCGGGACGCTCTATCGGGCCCCAGGACCGTCAAGAGTCAATCCGGGGCGAAGAATTGGCACCGCGCTCGGGACTCCCAGGGCCACGCGTGGAAGCAAGAATGCATCGTCGGATGTCAGGGGTCTTCTGTTGCAGCTTTTGGTGCCTCTGACCGTCACCCGCAAAGTCAGTCGCTTATCATCGTACCACCAGGGCCTCTCGCTCTCCCCGTTCTTTGATTGCCCAGCATCCACCAGAACCAGGTGCCAACAGCGGTCCTTGTAACAGGCTCCGGGGTCATAAAGCTTGCCCACCCAACACTCACGAGCACCGCTTCGAAGGATGGCAGAGCCCCTGTGCCCCACTCGAATCGACAGGGGTCTGTCTAATCTCAGGGGCATCAGTCGTGCGCTATGCACAACAGACGCATCATTGAATACATGACTTTGTATAGAAAGTATAACCGTATGTGTCTACCGTATTATCCTCCCCCATAACTGCCACGCCGATGGCCTCACTGGCGTCATGAGCTGATGCTAGGGCCGCTCTCTTTGGATACGGCCCCGGGGTCTGAACTGGTTGGGACCCCAGAGTTTGTCAAGAGGGGGGGTGAGGCCAAATCCGCTCAAAATCCGTCCCCAGATACCCTCCTGGGGTCCATCCGGCGCAGTTTTTCGCATCGGGCGCCTCGGGTCCGTTGTTCACGGCCCCTGGGGGTTTTCGGCCCCCGGAGGCCGAAAGAAGCCCCAAGCCTTCCCGAACCCAGAACTTCGAACCGTTCCGACAAAAAAAAACAGAGCCTGTCAGGACGTCCTGCCGGCCGGGACTGATTCCATGCCACCTCGGGCCCCAAGCCAGCGCCAACTAGGGGGCCCTCTCTCTCTGGAGGGCGGGGGAGAGGCCGCGAGAGCAGGTCAGCACTCTGAGGGGTTACCAGCTCGCCCTGGAAACCGAGGTCCCAGGGTCGAAGCTGGAGAAGGCTTTTGGGCGTTCGAGGTCGTCGTGGAGCGCCCTGGAGTGCTCTTACGGGTCCCACCTCCCCGAGGAAAGGGCGGTTCCTGGAGGGCGTGGCGGGCGTAGGGCGACGAAGCCTCCACATATCCACCGCCGCTGGCCAGGCCCATGCTGGGCCCACGAGCGGCACATATGATAGCCTGCCGCGCGCACCGTGCAGCAGCCGCTCTGCCCTCTCACGGCGGGTCACCGCGCTGCTGCTGCTGCTGCTGCTGCTGCCGCTGCTGCTGCTGCCGCCGCTGCTGCTGCTGCTGCCGCTGCTGCTGCCGCTGCTGCTGCTGCTGCTGCTGCTGCTGCTGCTGCTCTCGGGACAGGTCGGGGGGGGGGGAACCGCCAGGCAGGGCCAGGAGCAAGAATCGAGGGTCGAGGATCGAGCAGGGATCGAGGGGGAGGAAGAGATCGAGGAGCGAGGAGCGAGGATCGAGGTGGAGGAGGAGGGATCGAGGGCCAGGGAGGGATCGAGGGCGTTCTTGAAGGGCGTGCTTCTGTCCTGGGTCCGACCGCAGCAGATCCAGCCTGCCAGGCACGCCTGGCACATGACGGCATGCCTGGCATGCCGTCATGTCGTGTGCCCACAGGCGTCTCCTGCGGCGGCGAGCGGGGGAGTGGGCGGGGGCGGGCTTCCTCGGAGGGCTCGGACGGCCTCGGGCCTCCCAGAGAGGGTCCTGTGCCTCCCCGAGGGTGCAGACAACTTCTCGGGAGCCCGGAGGGCTCCCTGAGAAGCCCCGCCTCCTCGCGGGGGTGCGCAGCGGGAGGGTTATTCCAGGGTGGGGTTGGATGCTCCCGCTTCACGCGTTTCTTTCGTCCAGGGGCTGTTCGGGGCGATCCTCCTTCCAATCCCACGTTTGCCCCAAGCCCACCTTTGAAAGGCCCACCGATCCTTCTGAGAAGGCCTTCTCCCTCTCACTTCCCCCCTCGGCGCGCCGCCGAGAAGGACCAGCCAGCCAGCCTGCAAGCAGGTGCCCACAGGAGCTCCTTGCCCCCCAACGCCGGGGAAACGGACGGCCCGAGTTCGCCGGAGCTCGGGGTTGCCTGGGCTTTGTGGCGGCCCGTCCCGAATTTCGACGGTCCCGTTTTCATGGGCGGCGGGAGTTCGCGTCAAACTTAGGAGTGGGTCTCGTCATTCTCTTGACGGCCCCGTCAAGCCAATTCGACCCCCCAGAGCCCGAGTCTTACGTCTCCACGGCAAGAGTCCCAGGGACCCACAGAAGCCTCGCGGGCACTCAGGACTACGAGGATGTTTGGCGAGTGTGCCCTTACTTTTCTTACGGGAGGATTCTCGTCGTATGTACTTTCTGCAATTGCCATCCCCAATTGTCGCCCTTTCCGAGCCTCCCTCTACTCGGTCCCTGCTGCATTTCGAGGCGCTTTCGGAGCCATCGCCTCCGTTCGAGCCTCGGGCCTCCGTGGAGCTCCCCTCTCGACGCGCCCGCGGCCTCCGTCTCTTTCGAGGGATCCAGTGCCCGTCGCAAGCCCACGTCCAGATGTATGTCATCCTCCTGCTCCTCACGGCTCCTGTCTTCCAGCCTCGAAGCGGCACGACCCCCACCCCCCGTGGGCACGATCGCGTGATCACCGCGCGCGCAAGTTTGGCTGCACGTGGCCAGGCCGAGATTCTCCAGCTCGACCGTTTCGGCACGGCCTGGTAATCATGCCTTGCGCACTCTGTCCATGCTCTCTCCCTCCTTTCCTATCTGCTCGCGCCTCACGGGCAAGCTAGATTCACCTTGGTTTGGGATCGCCACCGCTGGTTTCAGCGCACCTTCGCGACGGAGCGGCTCGGACGCATTGTATTTACGCGTATGAGAAATGCCGTGCGCCTCCCCTGCGGCTGCAAGCGAAGGCGGGCTGGCAGTGCGGGACTACCCATCTTGTCTGCCAGCGTTCAGTCGGACAGTAATGTTGCCGATTGTATACGCCTGTCGTTGATAGTAGGTAGTTTTTGCATTCCCAGATGCCAATCTACCTCAAGCGACTTCCTACTTCAGGAATCGACCTGCTAGTGCGGTGATTTGCTATTCTCTGGGCGGGCCTGCACCCAACCTGCTTTATCCGCCTTCCTACTTCATGTGTGTTCACCTACTTCTTCCGACCGTCGTGTAATGCTGTCGACTGCACTGGCATTCTCTCGTGCGCAGAGGGGGTCAGGGCAGAACTCCGTCAACGAGGAGCAGGAGCAGGGTGAGGCGGCAGATGAGGACGAGGAGGAGTGGCGTGGACAGTGAGCGGGGGAAGGAGCGGCAGCAGCAGGAAGGAGTGCACGCCGGTCGCTGAAAGTACAGTCGGGGACCTGAAGAAGGAACCCTTTTGGTTGGGGAGGGGCTCCGCGTTCCTTACGTGTTTCACCGCTTGCCTCAGATTTTCCTTAGGTTTTCGATATGAAATCGAAGTTTAACTTATGGAAAATAGGGGCCTCATTCCTTATTTTAGGCTCCTTAGGTCAAGGCCCCGACTGTAGGTTCTCTGGATGCCCAGATCCATATCTACGGCGCCTTCCTACTTCAAGGAACGAGTTGTCTCCCTTTTGCCCTCCCCTACAGGGGGCGGGCGGAGACCACATCTACTGTCAGCGCCTTCATACTTCATGCTTCTGCAGTCGAGCATCTGATTAAGAAACCTCCTCCCGAAAAGCTGGGCCAGCGTTTCTCCGCCCACTTGCTGAAACACTTGCCCAGCTTCTTGAGCACGTTCGCCCCTTCAGCGCGGACAAAAGAAGCTGGCCAAGGATTTTCCCAACCCTCCTGCGTTGGGCACTCGTTTTGAATAGAGCACTGTGGTCGCGTCCTCCTCCCGTCCCCCTCCTTTCGCTTCTTTATTCCTTTCTCCTCTCCTCGTTTGCCTTTTACCTCCTCCTTGCCATCTTTGAGGGTCTGCGATCTGCGAAACTGTCGCCACTTTCAAGGGCTGCTGGGGGGGGGGGCAGCATTGTGGGTATCAGACGCAGATTCAGACTAAACCTCGCCATCCCTGGGGGGCTGCGATCTGTGACACTGTCGTCATCCTCAAGGCGGTAGCATAGTGGGCACTCGCCGCAGATCCAGATCAGACCTCGCCATCCTTGGGGTGCTGCGATCTGCGAAACTATCGCCACTCTCGATGGCTGCTGGGGGGAGCAGCAGTGTGGGTACCAGACGCAGATTCACATTAGACCTCGCCATCCCTGGGATGCCGCGAACTGCGAAACGGTCGCCACTTTCGAGGGCTGCTGGGGGTCTAGCATAGTGGGCAGCAGTCGCAGGTCCAGATTAGCGCTCTCCATCTCTGAGGGTCTGCGATCTGCAAAGCCGTCGCCACTTTCGAGAGCTCCTGGGGTGACCAGCATTGTGGGTACCAGACGCAGATTCGGACTAGACCTCGCCATCTCTGGGGTGCCGCGAACTGCGAAACAGTCGCCACGTTCGAGGGCTGCTGGGGGGGCTAGCATCGTGCGTACCAGACGCAGTTCCAGATTAGACCTCGCCATCCCTGGGGGGCTGCGATCTGCGAAACCGTCGCCACTTCCGAGGGCTGCAGGGGGGGGGAGCACCATAGTGGGCTACTCGCCACATACTCAGATTAGACCTCGCCATCCCTGGGGCGCTGCGATCTGCGAAGCCGTCGCCGATTTCCAGGGCTGCAGGGGGCCAGCGTAGTGGGCGACTCGCCGCAGACTCAGATTAGACCTCGCCGTCCCTGGGGCGCTGCGATCTGCGAAACCGTCGCCACTTTCGAGGGCTGGGGGGTGCAGCATAGTGGGCACTCGCCGCAGACTCAGATTAGACCTCGCCATCCCTGGGGGGCTGCGATCTGCGAAAGTGTCGCCACTTCCGAGGGCTGCTGGGGGGGGGGCAACACAGTGGGCACTTGCAGCATACTCAGATTAGACCTCGCCATCCCTTCGGTGCTGCGATATGTGAAACTGCCGTCACTTTCGAGGGCTGCAGCATAATGGGTACTCGCCGCAGGCTCATCTTAGACCTCGCTATCCCTGGGGCGCTGCGGTGTGTGAAACTGTCGCCACTTTCGAGGGTTGCTGGGGGGTGCAGCACAGTGGGTACTCGCCGCAGGCTCAGATTAGACCTCGCCATCCCTGGGGGGGAGGGGGGGCGATCTCTGAAATTGTCGGCACGTTCGATGGCTGCGGGGGGATTCCTGGGGGGCTGCGATCTTGCGAAACTGTTGCCACGTTCGAGGGCTGTTGGGTGGATGAGCATAGTGGGCACTCGCCGCAGAATCAGATTAAACCTCGCAATCCCTGGGGTGCTGCGATCTGTGAAAATGCCGCCACTTTCAAGGGCTGCTGGGGGGGGCATAATAGTGGGCACTCGCCGCAGACTCAGATTAGACATCGCCATCCCTGGGGGGGGGGCTGCGATCTGCGAAGCCGTCGTCACTTTCAAGGGCTGCAGGGGGGGGGGAGCACCATAGTGGGCCACTCGCCACAGACTCAGATTAGTCCTCGCCATCCCTTGGGGGCTGCGATCTGGAAAAGTGTCGCCGCTTTCAGAGGCTGCTGGGGGACGCAACATAGTGGGTACTCGCTGCAGATTCAGATTTGAGTCCGCCATCTCTTGAAGGCTGCGATCTGCGAAGCCGTCGCCACTTTCGAGGGCTGCTGGGGTAGCCAGCATAGTGTGCACTCGCCGCAGATTCAGACTAGACCTCGCCATCCATGGGGCGCTTCGATCTGCGGAACTGTCGCCACTTTCAAGGGCTGCTTGGGGGGGGGGCAGCATAGGGGGTTACTCGCCGCAGATCCAGATTAGTCCTCGCCATCCCTTGGGGGCTGCGATCTGCGAAAGTGTCGCCGCTTTCGGGGGCTGCTGGGGGGCGCAGCATAGTGGGCACTCGCTGCTGATTCAGATTTGAGTCCGCCATCTGTGGAAGGCTGCGATCTGCGAAGCCGTCGCCACTTTCGAGAGCTGCTGGGGGGCCAGCATAAGAAACACTCGCCGCAAATTCAGATTAGACCGCCCCCTGTCACCTTTTTCATGCTGCTGCTGCCGCGATGGCTCCCCGCCCCCGCAATTCCGTAATTTTCCTACCCGTCGTTCCCGCCCCCGTTCTTCTTCATGCTTGGGGCCCCAATCCTCGTCCCGTCGGTCGCTGTCTTGTAAGTCGTGCAACGCGCGCGCATCCCATGTAGCTTGCACAACACATCGCCGCGCCTGCACTGTCGTCGTTCCTGCCAATATTGGCCTACGTTTATTTCCATTCGATGCAGCTGGGTTGGGTACGTCGCAGAGTAATGGTTTTAAAACACTTAAAGGATGCTGGTTCAGATTTCTTGAATGTCATTTTTCTTCCGACCGACGGGTACGGTGGGGGCGTTCGTTAAGGAATGTGCCCATGGGGCTTCAGACCCTGGAGGATTCCTTGTCTGATGAGGTCGGCAGTGACATCCGTGGCCAATCCACGATTGGGGTTCCACCAGCTTCCAGACCCGGGATTCCTTGTCCACTGGTTCCTTACCCAATGCCCTCACCGTACAGTCGGGGCCCTGAAGAAGGAACCCTTTTCGTTGGGGAGGAGCTCCGCGTTCCTTAAGTGTTTCACAGCTTGCCTCGGGTCTTCCGACGTTCTCGATGGGAACTCGCAGTTGAACTTCTGGAACAAAGGGGCCTCGTTCCCTATTTAGGTTTCCTTAGGTCAGCGCCCCGACTGTATTCTGGTTCTGTCCGGCAGGAGGAGGCAGGAGGCAGAGGGAGGAGGAAGGGCCGCGCGCTCCGCGTGCGGGCCCGGCCGCGCGCGTGTGCTGACGGCCTCGTGGCGGGGGTCCCACCCGGGGGCGACCCAGCGACGGCCGCGCCCTCGAGGGATCGAGGGGCGACCCTCCCCTCGGTGTCATCTTTTTGGGGCCTCCTGGGGTGCCCTCATCGCCACCAAATTCGCCACCAATTCGCCCTCATCGCCACCAAAATTCTCCAAAAAGTGCCCTTCGCCCTCTTGGGGAGTGGCGGCATCGGTACCATTTGGTTTCCCCTTGTCTTCCTCGGCGGGAGGTTCGCGGAGGCCAGCGGAAGCAGAACGGGGGCGGCTCCAGCGGCGGAAGGCCCGCGGAAGTTGGCGGGAGTAGAAGATCCGAGACTCAAGAGACGGGGGTCAATGCAAACGGGGGTCAGCCAGAGCGCTGGATCTTCAAGGCCCTGCAGAGCCAGGATTGCACATACCTGGGCTTGTGCGCAGGATCCTACAGGATCCTGCAAAGCTCTCTTGACCCAGGTCTGGATTGACCCGGGTCAGTAGGTCCCCGAAAGATGCTCCTCCAAGAGATGTCAACATTTGGGTTCAGGGTGTCTGGAACGAGCCACCTGTCCTGGTGCTTCTTCTTTCGTGGCAAACCCAAACGTGGGACCCTATCGCTTCGGTGTTCGCACTCAGACGCATGTGGAAGCCGATGTGCGTAGGACCTGCGTAGGTGTGGATGTGCGTGAAGCTCTACATGCGTGGAGCCATTTGCGTGTTCAGCAGTCTGCAAGTGTGTTGAATCCTATGTGCCCGTGCGTGTGGTATACCTTGTGTGTGCGTGTCGCTGTGTGTGCGTGTGTCTGTGTGCCTGTGTGCCTGCATGCCCGTGTGTGTCTGTGTGCGTCTGCCTGTTTGTCGGTGTGTCTGTTTGTTTGCGTGCTGGTGTGTGTTTGTGTGCCGGTGTGTGTGTGTGTGTGTGTGTGTCTGTTTGTTGGTGTGTGTGTTTGCGTGTGTTTGCGTGTGTCTGTGTGTGTGTGTCTGTCTGTGTCTGTATGTGTCTGTGTGTCTGTGTGTGTGTCTGTGTGTGTCTGCGTGTCTGCATGTCTGTGTGTGCGTGTGTGCGTGTGTGCGTGTGTGCGTGTGCATGTGTGCATGTGTGCGTGTCTGGATCCATGCGTTTGGCGTCTCTGGCGCACGCGTGGGCAAGCTCTTCTGCACTCTCCGGCTCATGCAGTGGTCCAATCCCTCTGCTGCCGCCCCAGGCGGCGCGAGGTGCCCCTTCCGTGCCCGATGCAGCGGACGACCGCTGGGCCGCACCCGACGCTGGACAGGCCGCACCGGGCGCAGGATCGCTCCGCGGTCGCGCCCCAGAGGGACCACCACGCCGCGGGCGCACCCTCCTGGGAACGCCCGCTCGGCGCCCGCCACTTCAGCCAGGCCAGCGTGTCGGCCCTGTCTGTGGCTGGGGCGGCGTGCCACAGCGAGCGCCGCCTGGAACCAGGCTTCGACGCAGCGTTTCGCACGACGCCACCAGCGCCGGCGGCGCTGCGCGAGCCGCCGGTCGGCACGCCTTCCCGTGTGGAGGGTCCGCCGCGGCAGCTGCCGGCGCCAGACAAGCTCGACTGCCTAGGCGTTCCTTGCGTGGCAGACTTCCTCCGGAGCCCCTCTTACGACGGCGGCGGCGGAGTGGAGGAGTGGCCGCTCCTAGAGCAGCAAAAGCAGTTCAACTTCGTCGGCTTCGGCAAAGGGGGCTACAAGCAGACCTGGAAGTACGTCGGCCATGGCCACGGCGAGTTCGACTTGACCCCCCAGGTGCCGAGAAAGAGGCGGCCGCGCTGGTGGCAGATGTGCCACCCAGCAGCGCATTGGCTCTGTGTGCCCTGCTGCGCATGCTGCATCCTTCTTGCCCTCCTCTGGGCGTCCCACGCGGCCACGCCCAGCGAGGCGACCACAGCCCCGTCCGCCACCTTTCCGCCTGCGGGGGCACAGAGGGAGCCATACGACTGTCTGGCCAACTTTACCGACTGGGAGAACGCCTGGAGCGAGGGGCAGCAGTCGTGGTGCTGCGACCACTATGACCGGGGCTGTGCTGCGAGGAGAGCGTCGCTGTTCGATTGCAACGACAGGCTCGACCAGTGGGAGGACTCCTGGTCCCTAGACAAGAAGGTATGGTGCTGCCGCCACCGCAAAAAGGGGTGCGACCACCACAGCGCCACGAACCCCGACGCTTTCGAGTGCCGGCTGGACGATGTCGGGGCGGCGGGCTGGTCTGACGAGAAGAGGGCGTGGTGCTGCCCGCACGCCGGGGCAGGGTGCCCTGCTACCACCGCGCAGGTGTCCACCACCACGCAGGTGCCCGAGACGGGAAACGACGCTGAGCCCAGCACGGCTCCGAGTGGCTAAGCTCTCTCACCACCCGCTCTGCGGGCCAGCGGCTCTTCTGAGCCGCTGCAGGGGCTCCCCGCGGGCTCCACGAAGTCTTCTCTCGCGTGGGTGGCGCACTGGCAGGCGGGCTGGTCCCCCGGTAAGCAGGCGTGGTGCTGCTGCCGCAGGGGCGTGGCCTGCCCGGTGGAGGCGCCCGCAGCGCCGACGCCGGATGCGTAGGCAGCCGACCTAGACTTTTGGCGGGTGGTTAAGAGGGGGTGATGACTAGGGGTGTGTGGATATCATGGCGGGGGCCATGATATCTCTCCAGATCTCATGGCGCCTCTTCTTATTTCAATACGTCCCTGGCCGCCCCCCTTGGCCGCGCACATGTAGCCGGCCATGACTTGCGCCCCCCCCTCTTGGACGCCCCCCTCTTTGGACGCCCCCGAAGGCCTCTGGCTGGTGGTAACAGGGGGTGACCCCAATTGGGTGTGAAGAAAAAACCCTGAAGGGGCCATTTAGGTCCACTTTTAGGCACCAGCTGGCACCAAAAAGGGCCCCTCTAAGTTTTTACTTCACCCTCCATGTGGGTCACCCCCCATTACCACCCTGCCGAAGACCTCCGATGCCATTTTTTGGGCCTAATCCACGACTCCCTGGAGCTCCACGCCCCCATCCCAAGGGCAACATTTCCGCCCCGAGCCGTTCTTTCACGGCCCCGCGGACCCGCAAGGAGCACACGCCCGGGCAGAAGCAAATAGATCTGCACGACGTCGAAAGTCTGGCGACGCTCGACAAGTAGAAGTGATCCTTCGCCAGATTCACTTCTGGTGCGGGGCCATTGGGGATTGGGGTCCCCCGATCGCCCAATGCGATGCGACAGCCACAGCTTGTGCGTTGGGGTTTGCCCTCTCCCCTCCCCAGGCCATGCCCCCCCCCAGAATGCCGGGCACTAAAGGCCACTCATGCCTGGGTCCAACTTGCATTTAACCAGATCTTCGGCGTCGCGACTTTGCTCGCAACGTGGACCCCCGAGAGGTTTGGACCCCTTCCTCGGAGCCGGAATGTTGCATCCCGAGTCGTCTTTAGACGGCCCCGGGCCTGGCACGGGCCCAAGGGCTCCCGGAGACCCGAGAGCAGCCCGAGACCTCCCGCCGTGCTCTGCTTCGCGACGGGAGGGGGGCTGGGTAGCCGAGCCGTGGCGCAGGGGCCGCCACCGCCGCCGCGGGCCGCCTCCCAAGACGGGGCCGGCGCCTGCGCTAGGTTCATGTCGTGCCGACGCGGCGGCGACCGCAAAGCGGACGTGGAAGGTTGAACGCCGCCAGTGGCCAGGAGTCGGCCAGCATCGAACGGTCTGCCCTGTCGGGAGGCCGCGGCCGTGCAAGCTCGAGGAGCGATCCGTGCGGTGTCAGACACCAACGCCCAAGGCGTCACGACCCAGACATGCGGCGTCTTGATTTTTTCAGGACGGCGTCCCTGGAAGTCCGGACCCTTTCCCCGGGACCAGTTTTTCGTTCTGAGTCGTTTTTTGACCGCCCCGAGGCCCGGCGAGGGCCCCCCGGGGTCGAAAATAAGCAAAAATTGATCGTCCAGATTTTTTGTTGTTTTTGACGTCGCGATCACGTCTGGGAACCAAGGCCCAAGTCGTCACGACACGAACCTGCCGTCATCCGGCCTCGTAGCGGCGGCCGTGGGCGGCACGGCGTCGTGACGCCTCCGCGCAGCCGACGCCGCGTCGGCCTGCGGGCGGCCGCGCGGCGTGCGCGCGCGCGAGGTGGGGCAGGGCGGCGGCGCCGTCGACTCGTCTGCGCGCAAGAGTGACCTTTCGCGGAAGTGACTCCTCCATCTCCTCCATCTCCTCCTCCTCCTCCTCCTCCTCCTCCTCCTCCTCCTCCTCCTCCTCCTCCTCCTCCTCCTCCTCCATCTCCTCCTCCTCCTCCTCCTCCTCCTCCTCCTCCTCCTCCTCCTCCTCCTCCTCCTCCTCGTTACCACATCTTCTCCATGATCCTACTCATGCCCCCCTTTACCTTCAAGGCCAAAGCGTGCTGAGATCTCTGAGACAACTCGGAGGAGCCAAAGGCCACGCGAGCGATACGCTCCAAGATTTCCGCGATCTCCCAGATGTCATGATGGTCCGCACTGCGGACTCCGCAGGGGCTGCGCCGATCCTGTCCTGAGCCAATCCTACCATGAGATCACTCCCGTCCTCAGACGGGGGTCCCCAGTTGATTGAACGCGATGCGACAGCAGCGTCCCGCGCGCCCGGGTTTGGCCTCCCCGCGGCCCCCGAGAGTCGCGCACCAGAGGTCGCTCTTGCCCGGGCCATTCTTGCGCGTAGCCGATCGACGTCGCTGCTCTGCTGGCTGTCCCGACGCCGCATTCTGCGGGCCCTCGCCGCCGCGGTTGGACGCCGACACGGCTCGGAGAGCTGCCTGGCGTGGACCCCGGCAGGGGTCCCAGTGGGGGCCGCTCTCGAGCGGGCGCGGGCCCGGAGTGCGGGCCGAGGGGTGGGGCTTTTTTCAGAGCGGCGGGGCCGTCGTCGTCGTCGTCGTCGTCGTCGTCGTCGTCGTCTTCGTCGTCGTCGTCGTCGTCGTCGTCGTCGTCGTCGTCGTCGTCGTCGTCGTCGTCGTCGTCTTCGTCTTCGTCTTCGTTTTCGTCGACTTTGTCGTGGTCGTCGTCGTCGGCACCCGCCTGCCGTCCCTGGAGGGCCTTCCTGCAGCCTCGGCGCCGCGCGCTCTCCTCGATGCCATGGGCGCCTCCGGCGCGCCTCCGGCGCCGGGGAAGCCAGTTGCGTGAGCCGATCCGCTGACCCCGCATTCTCGTGCGCCCCCAGAGCCCATCGTTTGGGGAACACGCAATGACGTCAACATAACACTCGGAGGTCCGCCTAGATTTCTCGGATCGGCACTGGATCCTCCTGGCGGCGCCTCCTGCGCCGCCCCTGCCGCGCTCCGCGCGCCGGGGAGGTGGGTCCAGTGCCGATCCGAGAAATCCGCGCGGACCTCCGAGTTGTTATGTTTGTGTCATTGTTTGTTCCCCTATTATTTAATCGAGCGCGTTCCGCTACTCGCAAAGAGCCTACTCGCAAACGTAAGGCAACAACAAACATGTCTCCGTATATGTAATGGATCGTAAATCCCCCGCGGCGGATCCAGGCAAATTGCGAGGAGTTTTTTTGCGAGTAGTGGAACGCGCTTGCCTATTCTTGGGGGCATCAATCTTTTCTTCCTGGAGGGCCGCCTCCCCCCACCCACCGTCCGCTCCGGTGAAGCTGGATCTCTGGATGCGCACCTCCCGTGGTCTCTCATGGCTAGTTCTTCGAGCTGCGTGCAGCCGTACGCCGCCACGACAGCCCTTCTCGGTGAGGCCCAACAACGTCAAATCCTGGTCGTCTAAACTCCTGGAGGTCGGACATCCCTCGCCGCCTCTCGGGTGCATGCCGTCAGGACGGGCTCCCTCAGGTCTGAATTTGTTTCTACGCCCGGCTGTTGCATAAGTATTGCCAGCGGTGCGGGAACGACGGTCTTGAATTCAGTGTGCTCGCTTGTAGATCCCGCGAGCTTTTTGGCAAGAGCGTTCGGTCGCTTATTCCTCATCTTTCCTCCTCCTCCTCCTCCTCCGCCTCGTCGTCCTCCTCCTTCTCCTCATCGTCCTCGTCCTCCTCAACCTCGTCGGGCAACGAGCTAGGGGGCATCCAGAGGCCTGTAGAGGCCTCCTGAGGTCACAGACGCAAGCGCTCTTGGAGCAAGAACCACCCCATCCTCCTCATCTCCGTTTGCCCGCGCGTGCGCGCGAGCGCGCGTGGAACAGAGGGAAAAGGGGAAGGAGACGATCAGGAGGCGAGGAGGTAGGCTCAAGGTGCACGAAACGATTCTGGCTAGCTTCGGGCCTCTTCCATCCTCCTCCCTCTTACTCCTCCCTCCGCCCCTCCCCCCCTTCATCCCTCCTCCCTCTCACTCCCTCATCCATCCCTCCTCCCACCCTCCTCCCACCCTCCTCCCTCTCTCCTCCCTCCCTCCGCCCTCCCCTCCATGAGCTGCACGGTATATGTATCCTTTCTGCCTTCTCCTCTCCCCTTCCCCGTCCAAGCCGCACTGTAACGTCATTGTCAGGGCATGGGTGTACTAAGCCAGCGGCGGTACTGGGAACCCCCTGGGCACACTCTCGTCGCCCAATGATTGACCTGACCTTCAGTGTTAAACACGATAGACGCTCGCGTCCACCACAGTTTCAAAGGGTGTGACACCAGGATTCCCGGCCCATTGACAGGATGAAGGCGCCCCAGAGCCAGATTACCTGAAGTCATCCTTCCTCCCCCTGTCCCCCCTCTTCTCCTGAAGGGACAATTCACCGAGACCACCGTGACTCCCCAGAGCTCTCCTGGGTTGCGTCCTGGCGAGTACAGCCGTGGCGACGAGGGTGGAGCAGCGGCATCGGTGTCTTTTCCTCCCTTGACCCTCCTCCTCGCCCCTCCTCACCCATTCCTTCCATCCCCGCCTCCTCACTCCTCATCCCTCCTCTTCCCCCACACCCCCCACACCCCACCCGTCCCTCCTTTCCTTCGTCTCCCTTCCACCCCCCCCTTCGTCCCTCCTCCTCCCCCCTCCCTCTCCTCCCCCCCCCGCTCTCCTCCCGCCCTCCCTCCCGGGCGGCCCCGCCCAGCCCGCCCCGCCTCGGGCGCCGGGCAGGGGCAACGCCTGCCGTCTTAGGGGCCCTCGCGGGGCGCGCGCTTCGGAGGAGGCGGCGGGCTGCGACCAAAGTGCGAGCAGCCGCCGCCCACCGCGGGGGCCAAGGAAAACAAATCGGCCTACTCCTCCCTCCTCCTCCTCCTCCTCCCTCCTCCTCCAGCTCCTCCTCCTCCTCCTCCTCCTCCTCCTCCTCCTCCTCCTCCTCCTCCTCCTCTTCCTCCTCCTCCATTACATTCCCATTCCTCTTCCTTGCGGATCGTTCCTCCCTCGATCGAGACGTTCTCATTTTTCACGACCTTGAGGCTCAAAACGTGCAAGGGTGTCACAGATGCAGGGCGGGTGGTTTTCGAAATGTGGCTCTCGCCTTAGCATGGCGCACATTCATGTCAAGAAAGTTGCCAGGGGTTCACGGATGGAGTTCGTGCGGTGTTCAATTGTGGTTCTCGCCACGGATGGAGGGCGGCTCCTTTTCGAAATGTGGTTCTCGTTGTCGCGCCGCGCATATTTCTTCTCAGAGCCTTCAGCAATTTCAAGGTCTATCATGGTTAACGAGCCAGAAATAGTATGTTAGCACGATGTCAGACTGTCAGGGCGCAACAATACGCTGATGCGTAGTGTTGAAGTCCCAGGAATGGCGTTCTGGCACGAGTCGGGATCGTCAAGACGCAACAGTAACGGTAAGCCGCGGAGTTAAAGTCCCAGGAGTGGTGTTCTGGCACAGTTCAAGATTTTCACACGGTTGTTTTCCAACGGGGCATGTTCTTCAGTGTAAATGAATGTGTGTAGGGAATCGTGAAGAGGGAAAGTGGAGAGAGGGCGTATTGCAATGTCGTTGATGAGTCTTGGGTTTGCATTGGTCCTTCCCCTTCTCCTCCTACTGCCCCTCTCCCCCCATATCCTCCTTCTCCAAGTTCTTCCTCCTCGTCCCCGTGCCTCCATCGCCTTTCCTCGTCAATCCTCCGTCCTCCTTCGTCCTCCTTCGTCCTCCTCCCTCCTTCCTTCCGCCTCCTCCTTCTCCTCTGCCTCCTCCTCCTTCCTCCTCCGCCAGCCGGCACGCGCGGGTCTCTCCCGCCGCCCAAGCACAATGACCGGGAGCCGGCAGACACCTCCACCGCCCCTTGCACGGGGCGGTCCCCTGGGGCTGGCCCGCTGCCTAAGGTTATGATGTTCCAACAGCATTATTCCGACGCTTTTCTCTGGGTGCTAAAAATTATGTGTGGCATGTTGTCTTTAAGCAGGATGGGAACAACATAAGCGTAAGACAGCGGCCACTCCCAGGGGTTAGGGGTCTGCCGGCTCGGCCTTCTTTCCTTCTCCACTTGCTCCGCCTCCTCCTCCTCCTCCCCCCTCCTCTTCTTTCAACCACGCTCGACCGAGGGGACGACTCGCCACCGATAAGGTTTTAGGTCTTGTGCGAGCGAGAGCGAGAGCGATATCGGTCTCCTTTGCCGCCGCTCGCCGCCTATCTCAAGGCCAGGCGGACGATCGAGGAGACAAACCTGCGGCGAAGTAGGTTCCTCCTCCCCCTCCCTCTCAGATGATGCTGTGTCTCCTCCTCTCTCCTCCTCCTCCTCCTCCTGTTCCTCCTCCTCCTCGTCCTCCTCCTCCTGTTCCTCCTCCTCCTCCTCCTCTTCCTCCTCCTCCTCCCCCTCCTCCTCCCAGATGGGGTCGAAGCAGCCACCGCCGGCTCAGCTGCTGCTGCTACTGCTGCTGTTGCTGTTGCTGCTGCTGCTGCCGCCGCTGCTTCTGCTTCTGCTGCTGCTGCTCTCCCTTCTCCTCCTCCTCCTCCTCCTCCTCGTCCTCCTCCTCCTTTTCCTCCTCTCCTCCTCCCCCTCCTCCCCCTCCTCCTCCTCCTGCTCCGCCTCGTCCTCCTCCGCCTCCTCCTCCTCCGCCTCGTGCCTCCTCCTCCTCTTCATCCCCCTCCTCTTCCTGCGCCCCAGGGCCCCCCCCCCGCCGCGCAGGCACCCCAGGGAGGCCCCACCCCCGCATGGGGCTCGCCTCGGGGCCCGTCGAGGGCCTGCCCTCTTGCGGGGGCCCCGCTCCTGGTCGGACCGAGGTATAAGATCGAGGTCGGTTCGGTGAGGGCACTCCAGATTTCGTAATAAAGGGAGGGGGGTCTCATTTCGGGGGGGGGGGGGGGGGGGGGCTCTTCCAGGCTATCTTGGATGGCCTGGGGGGTCTGGGGACGATGTTTTGGAGGGTTCTCCCACGTGGGAGGTCTGAAATGGCTTGCCTTGGAGGGTCCAGACCCCCTCCCTTTTAGTACGAAATCTGGAGTACCTTGATGCTCTTCGTGTCTGTTGGATGTTCTTGTGCATCCTGGGGGAGAGCACCCTCGAATGTTCTTCAGTTTGGGCCGGCTGAGGGCCTCCCTTCCTTGAAGGGTGGTCTTCTGTCCTAGGTCCGGCCGTATTTGTACCCAGGGTCTGCTGGGGCAGGCCTTTGTCTCTGCGAGCTTCCGTTCCCTCTGTCCGTCCAAGAGGGAGCATTCCCGAAGGTGCCTCGCCTTCGAGGATCGAAGGAGTCGTCATCTCTTCCGCGCCAGAAGGCGTCGGAAGTAAAACGAGGCCGCCTCCGCCGGCAGAAGCCAGCAGAACAAGGCCAGCGTCGGTGGTTCAAAGATGGGGTCCTGAGGGATGGGGTCCTAAGGACGAGATCCCTCAAACAATGTAAATCCACCCTTGGATCCCATCCTATCCTGAGGACCCCATCCCTGAGGCCCTCGGGACCCCATCATTGAACCACCGGTAGCGGAGGCCGGCAAAAGTAAGAGTTGTCGGGGTAGTTTCTTGGACCTTGCCTCTGCACACACCCTCGCTGTAGGTCGACTCGACGTAAGAGTGACATTTCGCCAGAGTGACCTTTGGTGCGGGCCCAATGGGGTCCCCCGATCGCTGATTGCGAAGCAGTAGCAGTGGCTTGCGCGCCAGGGTTTGGCCACCCCGCTTCCCCCATTAAGTCGCGCACCAAAGGCCACTCTTGGACTCTTGCCAAGGGTCATTCTTACGTGTAGCCGAGAAGGGCATCCGATCTAGTTTTTAGATTGCGCTTGGTATAGGTGGAGACCGAAGCCCGTCACGAGACCTCCATAGATTGCTGAAGGAGTAGCGAGTGGGAAAATGACAGTAAAGGCTTCCCCCCAAGAGATGACAACAGTTTGGGGGTCAGGGTTTCCAGAACCCTTCAGATGAGGCCGAAGCAGCCGCTGGCCGCGCTGCGTAGGGGCGCGAAAGCCTGCGAGGCTCGGAGGTCGATCCAGGCCTCCCAGCTGGGGTCGGAGTAGATGGGGTCGGAGGATCGCGCCGCATCGCCGATGCATCGCCGATGCGGCTCGATGTGGAGCCCGATTTGTTTCACGTCCACGGTGCCTCCCCGATGCATCGCCGATGCATCGGCGATGCGGCGCGATCCTCTGACCCCATCTACTCCGACCCCATCTAAGAGGCCTCCAGTCTGGTCTCAGTCAAGGAGGGAAACAACCACCCGAACCCGACAATTGGCGTCTACGAATCGGCCCTGGACGTTTACTGAGCAGCACTGCCCCGTTCGTTTCCTTCCTTGGATGCGTTTACTGAGCGGCTTCGCGTGCCGGGGTGATCATCATGAGGGTGGACTCTCTGCTCTCCACTAGGGGTCCACGCTCAAGGCGCCCTCGCAGGCCGTACAGTCGGGGCCCTGAAGAAGGAACCATTTTCGTTGGGGAGGGGCTCCGTGTTCCTTAATTGTTTCGCAGCTTGCCTCGGGTTTTCCTGAGGTTTTCGACAGGAAATCGAAGTTCAACTTATGGAAGATAGGGGCCTCGTTCCTTCTTTAGGGTTCCTTAGGTCAAGCCCCCGACTGTATCTCTGCTATGGTGCTTGACAGCGCCTGACGACGATGCGGGCAGATGCTTCGCGTGGACAAACCTTTCTACCCGGACCTCGCGCCCCCACGCGGGCGCGCGCGAGGCCGACCCAGAGCCTTACAGAGCCTGGTAATCCTCGAGAGGCGACCCTCCTGAGGAGGAGGAGGAGGAGGAGGAGGAGGAGGAGGAGGAGGAGGAGGAGGAGGAGATGGGGAGGGGTGAGGAAGAGGAGAAGGAGGATGAGGCATGAGCAAACGTCGCCTAGAGGAGGAGCGATAGGGGAAACATGGCCGGAGGATGGAGGAGGAGGAGGAGGAGGAGGAGGAGGAGGAGGAGGAGTCAGGAGGAGGAGGAGGAGCCTTATAGAGCCCTGGGGTCCAGGCTCACGGCGCCCTCGCGGGCCGCAGCGCGCGCCGCGCCGCGCCCGCAATGCGCGCTGGGCGGCCCCGGGCGGTCGCCGGCGGCGGGGCCTCCGCGAGGCGGCGGCCGCCCACGGCCCACCCCTTTTGGGGGGGGGGGGGTTGTCCTCGGCGCGTCGAGGGAGGAGGAGGAGGAGGAGGAGGAGGAGGAGGAGGAGGAGGAGGAGGAGGAGGAGGAGGAGGAGGAGGAGAGGAGGAGGAGGAGAGGAGGAGCAGGAGGAGGAGGAGGAGGAGGAGGAGGAGGAGGAGAGCAGGAGGAGGAGGAGGAGCAGGAGGAGCAGGAGGAGGCAGGAGGAGGAGAGGAGCAGGAGCAGGAGGAGCAGGAGGAGGAGGAGGAGCAGGAGGAGCAGGAGAGCAGGGCAGGAGGAGCAGGAGGAGGAGGGAGGGAAAAGGGGAGGAGGGGGCCTCCTGGAGAGGGCCCCCCCCTCCCCCTCTCTGGGCCTTCTCTCGTCGCCTCCCCTCCCTCCCTCCCCCTCCCCTCTCTCCCGCCGTCCACATCTCCTGCCCATCCCCTCTCCTCCCTTCTCTCCCCCCCGTAAACACATCTCAGTGCAAAAGGCTAGGACGACAAGTGAGGAGGAAATCACCGGGCCTCCATCACCCCGCTCGGCGGGGACTTCCCAGGAAATCGCCAGGCCCCAACAATGTTGGAATACACCTTCCCTCCAAGCTCCTTCTGCACAGGCCCCTACAAGGATTTCTTTCGACTGAGGGAACTGATCCGTTGGGGGACAGCCGTGTGAAAATCCTGAAGCGCGCCAAAACCTTACTCTCAGGATTTCAACGCCGCGAATCAACCTGACCGTTAGTTACGTTCTGACGTTCCGGAATCGTGCCAGAACTCCATTCGTGGGACTTCAACACCACGAATCAACGTAACTGTTGCACCCTAACAGTCCTGAGTTGCTCCAACACGTCAGGTACGTTACCATGAGAGAACCAGTCAGTTGAACTCGCGCCACGGTTTAACACGAACGTGCGCGGCGCTAAGGCGAGAGCGACATTTTGAACAGGATCCACCCTTAATCCCTGCAGCTCTTGCAAATGTTTCATACTAGTGAGCATGGCGCTAAAGCGAGAGCCACATGTTGAAAACGGTCCGGCTTCAATCCGTGGAATGATTGCACATGTGTCAAACCAATGTGCGCGGCGCTGAGGAAAGCCACACGCCCTCAGCGCCGCGCACATGCGCGGCTTCGTGACAAGGTTGAAAATGTTTTGAGCATGTGGCGAAGCTGACGGCATGTCAACATCCAACTGCGCCGCCCACAGCGTGTCAAAGCTGACAACATCCTGCGACACTGTCGTCAGCTTTTCAGCTTGAGGCTCACACGCGGTAAGGAAGTCTCAGGCGGACTGCCCAGGCCGCCCCTTTGGCTGGCTTCGGGGTGCGACAGCGAGGAGATACAAGGAACAGGAATGGAGGAGGAGGAGGAGGAGGAGGAGGAGGAGGAGAAGGAGGAGGAGGAGAAGGACGAGGACGAGGACGAGGAGGTCGCACGGCATAGCGTGTCGCTGGGGCCGGCGCCGCGACAGGCTAAGCAAACGTTCCCGACCGCACGTGCCCCGTGGCTGGCATGGGCTCCCCCCCTCTCCCCGCGCGTCCTGTCCTCGCTCATCGAGCTCGGGCTGGGGAGCCCCCATCTCTATTCCTTCTTGATGACTCCTCCCGGCACTACTCCCAAGTTGGCCTCGGAGAACTCGTAGGCCGCGGGGCGCGACGGCGAGCTTACGAGAAGAACGTCTGGATCTGCAGGAGGAGGCAAGGGCAAGAGGAAGAGGAGGAGGAGGGATCAGAAGTTGTTCTGAGATTTCTGACGGTTTGGGGCAGTTTTTCGTCGTTTTGGGGTACCCAGAGGCTTCCAGGGACCTCCAGAGACAGACCTCAGGCGACCCGAAAGGGTCGCGCCAGACATGATTCGCAGTAGTTTCGGCCTCGGCCGTGTCTGGACCCCAGGACCATCAAGAACATATCTATGATGAAACAGCAACACTGGGGACGGGGTTGCGAGTTCTAGGGGCTGGCGACTTTCGTCGAGGATCGAGAATCAATGGTTGAGAACGTGTCCGGTCTTGGGCGCAGGAGACCTACAGCCGCCCGAGGAGGAGGAGGAGGAGAAGGAGGAGGAGGAGGAGGACGAGTAGGAGCAGGCGGTGATCACGATTGCGTTAGCCCGGAGGGAACATAGGAAGCACATGCTGCTAGAACGAATGCCCAGCAAGTAACAAGGACTCGCGGAAGTATGCATGAAAGCACAAGGAGCGCACAAAGACGGTCACGAAGAAGACAAGGAAGGAGAGAGACACAACAAGGAACTACGGAAACGGATAACGAAACGTGCAGCAACAGTATCTACGGTGACGTTGCAACCTCGGCGAGAGCCAGGCACATTTGGCAGCACCTCTTCCCAGCGCCAGGGCCCGCGCCTGACCTGGCACGCCTGCCACCCGGCATGTGCGCATGCGCAGCGTGGCTTCCGCAGGTTCCACACGTGCTTTCAGGCGTCTCTCAGGAATCCCAAGTCAGCGACGCAAAAAATCGGGGCCGTCTTCGCCGACATTGGCTCGTAAGCTGCCCGCGTAAGCTCGCGCGGGAGCGCCCTCGCTTCAATGTGGCGTGCCGCGCCAGCGGCCCGCGTAAGCCGCCGCGTAAGGTCGCTGCGTCTTTTCGCGTAAGACCCGTTTTTGATCGTCGCCCAAGTGCCCACTGATTGCGACAAAATCATAACGGGAGTTGGTTGTCAGTGTTCGGCTTCCAGGAGCCTTCGCCGGGCGCCGGGACCGTCAAAAGCTATGCTGGATGTCCGTAGCCATTCAGGCTCGAGCCGCCCGTGGTGGCTCGAAATGTACGGTAGATACCCATGCCAAAAAACACCCTGCGTGCCTCCAGGGTGCCCTGGGTTTCTTGGGTTTCGATGGTTTTGCTATGGGAAGCGTGACGCTCCCCTACACCAAAAACCAATGGACGCCCTGGGGTCTCAGGGTTGGGTTTCTTGTGTAAGGTTTCTTGTGGACTAGCCTCCACTGTATGGGTGGTCCCGATCAGCGTGCTGGACATCGCCTCATGCGAATCTATCAGGCTTGCTGCCGGCCGCATGCTCAAGCTTACGTGTGGCCAAGAGGTACCAAACAGATCGGTGAAGGCTGCCACTTGGGTCAGAAGCGTCAATGGGCCCACTCCTGGGCACGCAGCCCAATATACTGCTTTTGCCGAAGGCGTGGCTGGTCTGATCATAACATGTAATATATTTAATTGGTGGCGCAAGATACTTCGAGAGTCCTGGCTGTGTGGTGGTGGATGGCGACGGCAAGCATTTGGAAGCGTTGCGTGCGTGGAGTGACGCTATGAAGTCAAATAGAGCTGCGAGTATGCACAGATCAGTCACCCAGGCTGGCAGTGTCCTATCGTATGTTCGCAATAGCAATTTGTCAGTGCGTCTGCTTGCTGTTCCAATGGTTGGCGCTGCATCAGTGTTGCGTCTTATCAAGCCTCCGCGATGCTTGACGACTCCAGAGTGCAAAGATATGATTTGTCAGTTTGTGGCGTGCGCCTCAATATGTGCACGTGCTGGCGCCCTTGGGTTTCACATCCATGCCGGTCATGGGCCATGGGTACTTGCTGGAGCAGTTCTCGAGTACACGTTCAAACAAAACGGCCGACGAATATGGATGCCCGACCTTCATCGAACGCGTACGTTTGTTGCTCGACGTCTGCAACGAAGTGCGAAAGAAATTGGGTCCCGCTCACATTGTGGCTGTGAAACTTGGCAAAGCTACAGTAAACGCGCATGCGATAGCATCTGGCGAAACACAGGAGCTGCTTCGAGCTCTCAGCCGGGTCCCTGTTGACTTGGTAGAGGTTTCGGCGGGCGGCAACTACGACGATTCGGCCATCATTCTTGGCAATTCCACAGGCGAGCCTTTGGGCCAGCCCTTCTTCCTGAAGCTCGAGTGCCAGCTCGAGGCGCACACCAGCGGAAGCGGCCTCGCGATCATGGTGACGGGCGGCTTCCGTGCGACACAAGCAGTTGAAGCGGCATTAACAGACGGAGGTGCCGATCTCGTTGGTTTTGCGAAGCCCTTCATCTTGTGCCTTGACGTACTGCGTAAGATTTCGGCGGGCGAGAGTTTTGACATGAGCGTGCCTTTCCAATCGGCTCGATGGGCTGCACGCTTCGGACAGCTGCACCTCATTCGTAACCATGGCCTTGCAATGCTAGCTGCTGGGCTCGACGGCGCGCACTACCGTCACCAGCTAGAGCGCCTGTCAGTGAACCAACCAGCAGACCCCAGTTTCGGGGGATTGCCATGCGGCCTTTGGTTCCTCGTATGGGATATCCTCGCCGCCTATGGTCTTCGCTGGATGTGGTGGACTTTGTTGCGCGGTGCCTAGAGAAATTGCAGGACCCGTGCTCGTTGACTGTTCCATACGATGGGCGTGCATTCGTCGAGTGCTGCGTGCACTGTGAGGGTCAGGCTCCCTGCCCCGCAGCCCCTCCCCAAACAACAGATTAGATTGGCCTGGACACCGTGTAAGTAATCGGTGGGCCATGCAGGCTGTTGATCGCCCTGGTGGCAATGTCGTCGCAGGGTGCTGCGGACAGCCTCAGCAGTGCAGCCTGCGGCTGCGGCATCGCAGTGCTGTAGTTCCTCTCCAGCCTTGCTCGTGGTAACAACGGGGCCTCCCCAGCCACTCCTGCCGAAGCTCTTCGTGCGGTGAGTGCCCTCCTCAGCCGCCGGCTTTCCGCGGCCGCCCTTCGCCTCCTTCCCTCCCGCGTGCCGCCGGACAATTCGTGTACCATGCCCCGGGCTACTAGAGCGCGCAAGCGGATGGCCTCTGCCGCGCCGCGACGGAAAAAGTGTGAACAACCGTCCCGTGCCGCAAGAAGTCAGAATTTGCCATGCGGCCGCTGCTTCTTCACCAGCTGGGAGGCCGGGAGAGAGTGAGGACAGGATCCGGGGTGCAGAGCCGGCCCTCGGGGAAGGGGTCGAGGCACCAAGGGGCCCATGTTGTGCAACGATCGCGGCCTCAGTTTACCAGCCTGGAACGTATCCCTATCCCTATGCTGGGCACCTCCTCATCACGATGCCAATCTCAGGGATTCCCTTATTTTTTGAGGGCGGATCCCTAGGATTTGTCATCGCCTTTTGGCGTGTCAATCTTAGGGATAGGGATACGTTCGAGGCTGGTAATCAGTCTCTCGAGGCCCTCCAGAAACCCAGGACGCCGTGCGCACGCCAGGACGGCTGGAGGGGCCCCAGCGCCTGGCGCGCACGCCCAGGCGCTGGGCCGCCTCCAGGAGAGCGAGCATCACCGCGCCCGCGCCACAGAGCTGCCGCCTCTCCCAGGCGGCCCGGCGAGTGCGCGAAGGAGGAGGAGGAGGAGGAGGAGGAGGAGGAGGAGGAGGAGGAGGAGGTGGGGGAGGAGGAAGAGGCGCGGGCCGCACACCGCGGGGCGCGCTGCGCAGAGCTGGACGACCTGGGTGATGTCCCTGTGCGTCCCAGTGAAGGGCCCCAGTGAAGGCTCGAGGCGCCCAGGGGAGCCCGAGTCCTCCACACATCCCTGGTCTCGCGACCGTCTGCTGGGGGGGGCGGCAGGGCACCGATGCCGCGGCTCCCCGGATCTCTCCAGGGGCGCGCTCCGGCCGGAATGCCGAGGCGGGTGCGGCCGTGGCGACGAGGGCCTCGCGGGAGGCCCAAGAGGGCGAGAACGAGACCAGGGCAGGGGCAAGAGGGCGAGAACGAGGCAAGGAGTGCGCCCAGGAGGATGCGGAGCCTGGAGGATTCCTCATCTGATTAGGGCGGCGGCGATGTCCATGGCCGATCCGCAATTGGAATCCCACTGGCTTCCAGACCCTGGATTCCTAATCTAAGGGTTCCTTGTCCAATGCCCCCACCGTATCGGTGCCTGTTCCTCCTCTGAGAGTCTTGCTGTGCGTGCTTCCGGCCCCTCGCCAGAACGTCCCAGATCAGCGAGGCGCCAGGTGGGCGGCCGCGGCGCCGCCGCGGCGCTGCCGCGGCGCCGCTTCGGCGCCGCCGCTCCGGGTCCCGGAGGCCACGGAGGCCTCCGGAGGCTTCGGGAGGTCCGTGGGAAGCCGAGGCAACCACGCGGTGACCATCCCAGAGCGAGTGCAGCAGAAGCCAGACCAGCCGATCCATCTTGTTTTGTCAGGCAGCGCTGGTTCGCCCGAAAGGCACGAGCTTCGCGCCAAGTTGCGTTGAGGTCCTCGGAGGCTTTTGAAGAGCTCCGCGGAGGCCATGGAAGTCTCTGGAGGTCTGGAGGCCTCCCGGGGCTGGCAGCGAGGCCAAAGAAGATGCCCATAAGCTTCGATCCACGGTCCGCCTGCACCTCCAGGGCCAGCATCCTTCCCCGCCCCGTCTCCACCTTGGCCAGGCGACGAGCCGAGGCAAGTGCAAATGGCAGGGCTGACCCTACAGGTCATGCAGGCCAGACGCTGAGAGAAGGACCGATTTGGAGTAAGTCGGGCCTGTCCCTCTACAGGAGGAATTTTCATTAGTAGTCCATAAATAGTCGGGGGGCGATTTTTGTCCTACTATGTTTGACTATTTTAATCGCTTCGCTCATTCCACCGGCCCTGGAGCCCTCGGGGGGGCCTCTTGGGGACCTCTGGGGAGTCTCTTGGGGCTCCTTGGCGGGGGCCCCCAGGGCCTCTTGGGGGGCTCTTGGGGGACTCTTGGGGCAGGAGGGGGGGGGCAGTCGATTGCGGCCCCCCTCTCGGAGGCCACGATCCTCGTGAGGGGTGTCAAAAACTTGCCTGGTCGGGCATCTCTGACCCGACCCTCCCCGGACCCTCCTGGGACTTGCCCAGGGTACTTTTCGCCCGGGACCCCCAGGGGCACCCCCCTGCGCGCGAACTAGAATTGTTGTTAACCAGTCACCGGAGATCTCCGCACGCCTCTGGCCCGTTGGGCCGGCGAATTTTGGAGCATTGGTTCGTTCGTGCCTGCAGGAGGGCGTGCCCGACCTACAGTCGGGGCCCTGAAGAAGGAACCCTTTTCGTTGGGGAGGGGCTCCGCGTTCCATAAGTGTTTCGCAGTTTGCCTCGGGTTTTCCTTATGTTTTCGAGGGGAAATCGAAGGTTGACTTGTGGAACATCGGGGCCTCGTTCCTTATTTAGGGTTCCTTAGGTCAACGCCCCGACTGTACCTCTGGAGGGGCGCTGCTTCCCTGGCGCGCTCCGCAGACCCAGGCCGGGCCCCCAGCTCGTGGCCGCGGCCCGCCGTGGCCAGAAAGGCCCACGCTTTGCTTGCAGTCGGGGCCCCGAAGAAGGAACCCTTTTCGTTGGGGAGGGGCTCCGGGTTCCTTGATGGTTCTGCAGTTTGCCTTCAGTTTTCCTCAGGCTTTCCATGGGATGTCGAAGTTGAACTCGTGGGAAAAAGGGGCCTCGTTCCTTATTTGGGGTTTCTTAGGTCAACGCCCCGACTGGACTGGGTGGTCCTGCTGGTGACTGGCACGATGACTGATGGACGACTGGGCCACGGGGATCCCGCACACCACGCGTGGGTCCCACGTCCCTGTCCGCACACTCCACCGCTCTGTCTCTCCCTCCTGTTCCGCATCACGGAGGCGCCCTTCGAGAGGCAGCCATCGGGGCACTTGGTTTGATCATCGCTGTCGTTAGTGAAGCATCGGGCATTGAAGCACCCCCACCTAGACAAGTCGACAGAGGAACTCTGCAAGGGCTCACTCGACAGTGGCGTTCGAGTGTACCAGAGCAGTCCCTAGCTTGGCTTCGTTCGCTAATCGTTGTGCCGTTTGCCAGGTGCAGTCGCTTGCTGTTGGACGTCGATATGTCGTCCCGCTCTGGGCCCGCTCGCAGTGCGGTGCCGTGCGCATGCGGGGTGCCCTTGGAAGATCTCGCCAGAGGCCGCGTTGCCAAAAGGTGCGCTGTCAAACCTTGAGAACAAAACCACGGTGCGGTCGGACCGGGGTACAAGACCGAGGTCGGTGCGGGGAGGGTGCCCTCTAATGTTCCTCGGGGAGGGGGTACCCAGAAGGATGCTCTTCTGTCCCAGGTCCGACTGTAGCGCGACGGCTCTACCCAGCCCCCGCGACCACTGGCGAGACCGCTCTCGCGGGCGCGGCGCCAGGTGGGCGGCGGCCGCGCTGCTGGCCGCCGCTGCGGCGGCCGCCACGCCGTGGGCGGCCGCCGTCTGCGTCGCCGGGGCCCGGCCGCGGGGCCTGCGGCGGGCTGGCGGCGCGCGCCGGAGATACAGCGGCGTGGCGTGGTCGCGGGAGAGGTCCTGGGGGTCGGGGGAAAATTGGAGGCCTGGAAATTGGCACCAACACCAGCACAGGGGGTTGCCTCCACATGGGAAAGATGATCCTAGATTTCGGTGCTGGTGGTAATGTTTCGGTCGCCTTGGAAGCCATAGTATTACCACCACCACCGAGATCGGGATCTTCGTCCCTCGGTGGAGGCACACCGCCGATATTGGTGTTGGTGTCAACCTGGAGGCCCGCGAGAAAAGAGACTCGGGTACGCCAGAACTCGGGTTCGCTTACGCTTCTCGGCGAGCCCGTCCCGAGTTTTGACGGTCCAGTGTTCGTGGGACGTCTGCAGCGAGAGCCCGCGTCATTTTCATCATGGCCCCGGTCGGGGGCGGCCAAGAGGGGGGAGATGACTAAGGGGGGGATATCATGGCGGGGGCCATGATATCTTCCCAGATTTCATGGCGCCTCTTCTTATTTCAATGCGTCCCAGACCCCCCTGGGCCGCGAGCATGCCACCGGCCATGATTTGCGCCCCCCCCTCTTGGACGCCCCCCGCTTGGTCGCCCCCGAAACAGTGGCGTGGCGTGGTCTCCAGATAGGTCCTGGAGGCGGGGTGGGTCTCGATCCTCGATCTTCCACCTCCTGCTTCTCCGCTCCTCTTCTCTGCAGCCAACCTCATCCTCATCCTCATCCACCTCCTGTTCCTCCTCCTCCTCAATTCCATTTTTCTTAACAGAAAGAGTTTCCTCGGGATTCTTGTGCGGGGTCTTGTGCGGGAGACCTTGTGCGTTCTTGTGCGGCGCTCTTGTGCGCGCCGTTGGCGTCGACCAGGTATGCGCGAGTGGTTATTCAAAGCATGTGGTCAATGAGGCAGAACTGCGCGAAGGAGGAAGAGGGGCAGAGGATGAGGAGAAGGGGGGGAGGGGTAGAAGGACAGGAGCAGGGCATCTGGAGCAGGGGCGGGGGCATGGAAGAGCACGGGATCTTCGACAGACAGCCCGCAGGCATTTCAACGCGCCACCTTCCAGCATTTCTGCATTCCAGCATTTGTGGAATGGCACGTCTAGGTTCTGCAAGCCCATTGCCCTCTCGGCCTTCAAAAGCCAAGGGCTGCTGCCGTGGTTGTGGCCGCTCAGGCTCTAGAGGCTGCTGGTGTTCTGGACCCTCCCTCCGCCTGAAAACGCTACAGGCGACGGTGTGGCAGCTTTACGTGAATTTGAGGACCGTGGCCATGTCATGCTAAGATTTGGCCGTGTCTGCATCTGTTCCAAGTGTTCGGGCTTCCTTGTCTTGCCCCACGGGTTCCCGCGGGCTCTCTGGGACCCTTGCCGTGGCCCGTCCTCGGCCCCGTCCACCAGGGATAAGCAAGCGAGGAAGCTGCACAAGACCAAGAGGGGCCCACACCCCACGACGCGTGAGGTTCTCGACAACTTGTTCACAGCAAGTGGTGTTGGCCATACCTTGAGGGTGCCACCCGCCTCTCTTCCTACTGTAGCTTGATGGCGTTCATTACCCTATGGACTCTTTCCAGTCGGTTCCCATCTTGGC